GATTGTTGTATTGTCATCTATTTTGCCTTGCTTGGGACCCTCTGAAGTTTCTCATAGTTTTTTATTCCTCCATAATTTAAATGGCTCTATGTCATGAGTAGATTTTGTATCCTTTTTTGCACTCACTTCTTGCATTTCTTCTGAAGAACTTCATCCAGGTCTAAGCAAGTGTTGCTACTGTTCTGTATCCACTACATCCCTGACATGCTCATAGAAATCTAAAGGAAAAGTAATCCATAGGATCCTTGAAAGTATCCATCCTGCCAAGATATTACCATGTTATTATCTTCATAGTGCTTGGGGATTCCTGCTTTACAGGTTGAATCATAAATCCATAAAAATCTTTATCATCTTTATTATCTATAAAAACAGAATCTTGAAATGTTACGTGAACATCTTCGACAACTGGGTCTCTTTCTGAATGTAGTAATCAAAAAATACATACATCTAAGTTTCCCTTTTACTGTGTATACATTCCCAGCATTAACATGGCACATCCATGAATTAGATCTGAATTTTCCTGTTTGGTGGAATTTCTTGTTTCTCTAGAGCAACAAGAACTGCTTACACTGTGCCTTTTGTTTTGTCTTTTATAGTGAGCGGTACACTCCACATTCTGTACACATGAGTGCTAGATACCAGGTGGAAAAGCAGTGCAGCTTTAGTGGCAGAACTAAGGGATTTGAAACCACCAACTTTGGCTATTCAGCCAATATAAATAAACCAATTTGGCTATTGTTTTGTTTGTTTTTAATCTGTAAAAGGGTAGTCATTTAATTGACTGCCTGAACCAAGGCTCTAGAAACTTAGATCAGGGGAACAGAATAGTGGGGAGAAACATTAACCATCCTGGAGACTGATTTTAATGTCTTTCAAGACCCAATTTATAGTATGAATGTGTCATATCAGCTAGCGCTCACTTGTTTTTTTTTAGTGATCAGAATGGAATGAGGGCTAGGTCATCCTCTTGGGCATGCTCAGATTTAAACTACATATTTATAAAGAAAAATACTGATAATTACCCATATTTTAGTCCACCAGCTCCCATTGACTGCTGACTAAGGGCTGTGTAAAGATTGTAGGTTTGACAGAAGCTATTTAAATCTTTCCTTGGGCACTTGCACATTTTTCTCTGTAATAATAATCAGTTTAATGCAACAGTTGTCTTATGTCTAATGCAGGAAGAATGTGTATTTCTTGTACATGGCACTGGCCAGATCTTCATTTTAACACTGAAACTGAACTGGGTGTGGTTGCTGAGGGCAGTTAATAATGCTGACACCCTGAAAACCCGGCAACCCCAAGTGTTGCAAAGCTTGGAACTTGGCACAAGCTTTAGGGCTGATTTTCCTTTGAACAGAAGGCTTCCTTTACAAATAGTTAATTAGGGTGAGGTCATTCCAAGCTCATGTGACAAACACTGTCTGAAATAATTTCCTGGATTGTATTTAAGAGGAAATACTGAAGGAAATTGAGAGGTTTGGCTGTACTGTGTGTTAAATATAATGACAGTCTGCATTCTTGCAAGATTTAATGAGATTTTGTGAAATACCATCACTACCTTAAGGGCTTTTCTGGGGCTAGTGGAGAATTGCATACCCTGACTTTCCAAGATCCTACAAGACTTAATTGATAGGTGTAAAGTTAGCTATTCCCCTCTCCTTTGCCTGGAGAAATCTGAATTCCAATGTGTGTGTGTGTGTGTGTGTCTCCTTTTCAATCTTCATTCCAGTCTCTCTGGGCTGACTAGTTTTGACAGGCTTCCACATCCCTTGTAAGTATATGTGTGGGTGAGAAAATACTGTAATTGATGTAATAAAATAGTTTACATGTTTTGAAGATTTTTTTGGCATTAAATCAAAGAAATTTAAATGAGACCTCAGTTTAATCTGTGCCACAGAGTCAGTTTGTGTCTGTGAAACGTTCTTTCTGGGGGAAGTTGGGACTGCACTGCTGGACAGTACTAGGTGTTGTCAGGAGGAAAAGGTCAAATTGTCTCTTAGGAACACTCAGATCTTTGCTATTTTGGCTTGTTAACTCTGCAATGAATAAATGGACACAGTTCTGGGATTTAGATATGAGTGGCATAATGCCTTCCTCATGGAGGAATGATCTACTTGGAGCAACCCTGTGTAATGAGGATGTGTGACTGTTAAGTGTGAATTTTCATACATCCTTCTGATTATATTGTCCTGAGCCTTTTCTTCCCATCCAGTGCTTTCTGGGCATTTCTGGAAGTATTGCCAAGGATCTGCCCTTGCAAACAGAAAAATCTGTCTTTTTTCTCTTGTCTGCTTTATGATACCTGCATGAAAGGAAAGGGGTGGAACTTCCTCTGACATAAGTTAGGAGGGTAGATACAGTGGTTTTGTAAGATACTCATACAGGCCTGGGAGAAGTGTGTGGCAGCAGGTGTGGGCAAGTAACAACCTTGAAGGTGTTGCCAGTGCAAAACAAAAATACATGTCATAGGCTGCTTTTTCTCAGGTGGTCTCAAGGACAAGTTTGGCCAATTCTCACAGTAGTACAGTGGGAGGTTTCTGACCTGGTGCAAAATAAAAACACCCAACCTTTCCCCCAGCCCCAACTCCCATTTTATCAAAATGCATAATGCCCAAATAATTGGGAGCAATGCACTGACTGATAGCCTGTGTTGGTTATGGCTTCTCATAGCAGCTATTGCCTGTTAGTCCTAGAAGAGATTCAGAGTAGTAGGGGATGAGATGACAAAGCCAGAGAGCGTTGTAAAGTGGGTCCTCACACACGCTGATTTTCTCTCCGGGAAATTGCTTGTGTTTATGCATAGCAAAGCCTTTGTAAGTATTGCTGCAGTTCCTTTTGAGGAGGATACAGTTTGGGGTCCTTTGCTGTGGGCCAGTATGGTAGCTCGGTCAGCTTTTCCTTCAGTAAATCCTCCAAATTGGCACGTTTGTCTTGTCTGTCATTTGTATTTAAAATGCAATGAAACAGCAGTTGGCCTCAGTGTTACATACGAGTCCTGAAAGCTTTTAGCAGTGCTTAAGTTAAAAACGTTATAATAGAAAGCATTTAGATAATTTCTATGAACAAAACAGTATAGGTGTCAGGTTTGGCTTTTTCTGAAACTGTTTCTGGAGCTACTTTGTGAAACTGAAAACTCAAGTTGGCAGAGTATTGAGAAATTTACTTATTCATTACATCAGCTGCATCTTTTTCTCTCTTTCTCCCTAATAGGAACAGGAACCAGTGTTTCCTCTCCTATAAACTCTTTTTAAAATGAACTTTTTTTTTTTCCAAAAATTTTTTTCCAAGTTGTACCTGTTCTGGCATCTGTGGCTCTGCCACTGAATGGGGCCAGTTGCGATCATGTTCCCTTAGACTCATGGAAACAAATGCGTTTTGTTTAGATGAAAACAGTATGATTTCTTGAGTTCAGTGTTCTCTTTCCCTGTGAATCCTTGATATTTCTCGTGTCCTAAAAATCTAATCTCCAGTAAAAAAGTTCTTTATATTTCCTTTAAGAATGCTATGCATATCTGTGTGACTACATAAATAATATATCTCTAAAGATTATATTGTCCTAGATGAAACTAGGAGTGATACTTTTGCATATGTGATTGATAGAAGAAAGAGATTTTAGCAAATGTGTTCCTGCCTCTGTGGGTTTGTCATACCTGAATGCAGTCCTATCCAACAAGAAATTTCATGGAAACTGCTGTTAAAATATCAATTGATTCAAATACAATTTTACAGTAAAATGCCAAATTTATTATCCAGAAGCTTCTCTGGGAGAGGGTGATTGTATAGATGTAGCCAGTTGAACAAGATCTGGAGTTGAACCCATGGCATAGGGGCCATAAGACATCTTTTACAGTATGTTTTTCTTGTTAAATACGTTTTTCCCCCATCTCAAGAGGCAAATGCTTTTTTTTTTTTTTTTTCCTGTTAGAGCCAACTAAAGTAAGTGATAATTGAGGCTGTATGAGGAGGTGAATTTGTAAGATGTGTATACATGAAAATTTGCATAGTGCTTAACTATAATGTATCAGTGAGAGAAATGGGATGTGTTGTGGTCTCAGGTTGGCTGTGGTAATGATTTATCCTTTTCTCTTTGGAGAAGTTTCCTTCATTCATTTAGTTCATCCAGAAAGAAATCTGGACCTTTTGAGACAGTGCATGTGTGAGGAGATGTATGTGTAAATAAATGTGGTTTAATCCGTATGACAGATCACCTATTTACTGTTGAATGATGTTCTGCTTCATTCCTGTGTTCAGGAGCAGCTATTCCAGCCTGTTACTACTTCAGTGCTCTAGTGTTTGCCACTTCTTAGTCAAGGACATGTTTCTTTTATCTGCTTTTGTACTGTTACTCCCAGTTATTTATTTGACAAATATTTCATTATTTATAATTTATCACATCCTTAAATCGTGAGCTGAGTAGGGAAACTGTGAATTAAAGAGTATTCTTTATTGAATAGCTTCTCACTTTTCCAGTCATGAGGAGTTCTGTTGTAACACTGACATATCTTATCACTGTAATTTCCTTCTAGTAATGAAATTAGATGAAATGATAAATTTAATTCTCGAATTATGTCAGCTACTTGGATAGTACTTTGGCTATTACTGAATAAAACTTATATTTAGAGAATATAATTAAATTATATTCAGAGAAGCTTGATTTTAAGCTTTGATTCAGTGAAGCATAATTTTAAATGGTGTCCTTGGAAATCTAGCTGCTGTCATTGCAACAGGCTCTAATGCTGAAAAACCGTCACATTTGATCCTCTACTTCAGGTTGAATTATATAATGATTTCCACTAGTAATTCTCTTCATGAAGGTCCATAAAGCAGATGACACTATCTTTACAGTATAGTGTATAGTACCTTTTTATTAATTTCTGTTTATATTCCATCACTTTACTTTGAGTAGTCTGCATTTCTGTTCTCCCAATCATAGTAATGTATGAACACGGCACCAGTCTCATGAACAGAGACAAAACTGAACTGATGTACAAGTTATCTCACGGAGCTGGAGCCACATCAAGCATCACAAATCCCTTAATGTCTGAAAAATGGATGCAAACCAAGTCCACCTGAAGCTGCCTGGTGCCACTCTTGTAGGGAATTATTTCAAACTGGACTGTTGAGGTCTCCATGGGGGCCATTCTTGCCACACTAAAAGAGAGAATACATTTGTAATTGTAAGCAGATGAAAAATTCTTGCTATATATTCTTCATAGTCCCCAAATGTAAGACAGTATGGAAAGGAGGAGTCAGAGTAAGTGGCTGCTGTGTTTGTATGCTCCTAGCACAGGTGGACATAACCTTCCATGTTCACAGCTCCGACACCACCATCCTTGAAGAAATAGTTGCAGTTCTCAACCTGTGATGGAGAATTAGGGGTTGTATCACGAGGACAAAACTTATTGAGCACCTGAGGAATGATCAGGAGGGTTCTCTTTAGAAGAGCTCAGATCCAGCTGTATGTATTACCCTCAACACTCATAACATTTATAGTAGTCTAGATATGCTCGTGCTGTATTTTGGTGTGGTAAATGTAATTAATTACCTGTAGATTTTATGTCCATAGTTAGAAATGACTCTTGGCTGTCCAACACAAGGAGACTGATAGTAGCACTAGGAAACAGAGAGTGGGGGAAAAGGGCCTCTCTGCTCTAGGGAGGTACTGAAGCTGAGCAATACCAATGCTGGTAAGGCAAGTTAAGGTTCAAGGTCAGGGTCTAGACCTGAATTTTGTATAAATTGTAAATGAAGCTTTAGTGATTCACATCATTATCCATCTTTTGCTATCTTTTTTTGTTTTCCTCTCACAGTTCTTGGTGCTAACTCCCCCAGCATAAATATTTTGGAGGCTTTAAAAAATGTTTTTAAAGTAATAACCATGGAGGAGATGAGAGAAAAATTTCTTAATGGTATGATATTAGTGGACACATGTTTAAAACATTTAATTACATTAGATGTCCTGGCTCTTGTCACTTTCTCTCTTACCCTTCAAGGATTGTTTGGTTTTCCTTTTGCAAACCACAAAAAGAAGAAAGTTTTTAAATTTTTGGCCTTTATGTAATTTAGTCACTAACTACAGCACTCTGAGTTACACGCTGTCATTAAATCAGACCACCTCTCCACTCCCTGAGCATTCTGTAATTCAAAGCTCAGTAAAGGAGGTGTGAAAAACTCCCAACTAGTATATGGAGAGTACTGACATGATAGTATTTTGTCCAAGGGTGGTGCAAACAAAAGTCATGAGGTTGACAAAATCTTTTTAAAAACCCAGTTTTATTCCAGATTTTCCACCAAAGAGAACGAGTTATTAGCCAGATAGCATTTACGTACTTGATTCTGAGTTGCTCTTTGAGCAGGCCACTACCTTCTGCTCGCAGCACACAGTCTGTCACCACTTCAGACAGCGGGTTGGTAAATGTGACCTGCACGTTAACAGCCTTGTGTACCACTGCTGGACCAAGGACCTACAGAGGGAAAACATTCCGCTCAGCCATGGCATTGGTCTCTCTTCTTTCTCGTGGTTTTCTCTTTTCATTCCCTTTGCAAACCACTTACCCTCTTAGGATCTCCTGGACAGGAAGGAGACAGGCATTAATACATGTACATATTTTTGGGCATTAGAGTTCAGGCTTGTATCAGCCATCCAGTGTGGTTGAGAATAAACTACTGTAGAATCTACCATTTAGTCCTAACTTCCTAACTAGGGCAGTGCATCGTGTTATGTAAAACACAGATTAGGACACTTACCAGAGTGAGAACAGAATGAGAATACAAGTATTAACTAGGCATATATGGCTAACTCTGTAGGCATCTTAAATCAAATTAGCTTTAGTTAGGCTACATGAATGGTTTAGGGTTAGAAATCATTGGAGGTGTGAGACAGAGGTGAATTGTGTCCTCTCAGGCAAAAACCCAAAAGAATGCCAAGTAGCAAATAAACATATTCATTACCTTATTTTGACTGAGATCAAGTGGAGTTGCTTATCTGGTTATCTTGGTAGATAACATAATATTAAATAACATAATAGAGAAGTCCAGCACCCCAGTTGCATTTCCTATTATTGACTGTATGTTTATACAGAAGTTTCAGTCAGCAGAAGCATAAACCCTTCTGGAAACTTAGTCACTAAATTGAAATAATTCAGGTGTCTGCTGTATATAAGCTGACTCTTATTTGAATGATACAGCACGGAAGGCTTTTTAAAGGTCTCACTAGACCTTGGTATTCAGAAATCACCAGACCTACAAAAATCCAAACTCCATTCCTGTGTGTAACCTTGCTTTTCCTGTATCCTACTGACAGAGTGGTTTGAGATAGCTAATCTAGTCTGGAGGTGCTGGAAATCTCTCTGAATTATCACACTCCCTCCATGTTGTTTACAGTTCAGTAGACAGGTAGCATTTGATCCCATGTCTGATTCAGCATGTGGATGTGCTGAACTATCCCAAACAAGTTAAGCTAGTTTACCTGGATGTGATGGGCCATACAAACCCAGGACTGTCCCTGGGCAGACAGTGTGTGTGGTCTTCTCTGTAGACTGAGAATTGCTTTTTACCCATTTTACAACATTTGTCAGAATTCAGTCTCAAGTGGGGAAAAAAACCCTCTAGTTCTAATTATTAATCATTTGGGAAGATGTTACAGAAGGTGAAAGGTGTCGATTTTTCTGATCAGGTGAAAGAACTTCCTTGAGTATTAGTAATGAGCCTCACAGCTCCAGGCATTATCAGCTAGTCAGTGAAGATGTCCTTGGTAAAAATCAGGCTTCCTAAATAAACTGGAAGAGAATGACCAGACTTCCCTGACAAAAGTGGAAGCCTAGATATGGACTAGACCTCTCTGTCTCTCTCTGTTTCTCTCTGTCTCTCTGGAGATAATCTTACCTTGTAACGCTTGTAACACTGAGAACTTTCAGTGCCCTGTCAGCAAGCACTCGCAATGGTACCATAGCACAGCTGTGCTTGGGAAGGGTTTGCTTTTCCTTAGTGCGTTTCCTTATACTTGTGTCATACGGCCTTTTACTAGAATAACAAAATCAGATCATCCTCAGGTATGATTTCACTTCCCACACTCCTTCCCATGAGGAGCAGATGGAGTCAGGATTCTAGTTGCTTCTTCTCAACATGTCTCTCTAGAGACGCAGAGGGGACTAGCTTTTACCTTGATGGTGAGAAGAGGATCCTGAAGTACAATATCCTTCTCCACTAGAAGCGAGGGTCCCTGTTTGGTTTCACACAGAGCAGTCACTAGGATCTTCCTGTCATCCGTCAGAGAGTTTTTGTACTGGGAATAGGAGATCTTGAATGAAATCTCTTTCACTGGAATGGAAACAAACAGAATTCCCTCTTCTTTTTTCTCTCTCTGAATACCAGCTATCTGTAATATATCTGAATTTTAAAGAGCAAGGATGCTGTCACCCCGGGGCTGTCCATTTGTGGGTGTTGACAGCCCACAGACAGGAATGATGCTCATAGGTGACTTCTGCTTACATTCATCAAACACTAAATGATCAGGTACAGTTTGGTAGCTGGGCGGTTCTGAGGATGGATATATGTGGCAACCACTACTGGTGTTTTTTTCATTTATCTGAAGCATTTAATGCTCCTTCCTTGCAAATAAGGCAGAAGTGAAAAGGTGGGTTGGTTTAAATGCCCTTGCCGATGCAGCTGTTCAGCCTCTGCCTCAAAGATGGTGCACAGTCACTCTGTGCCAGTGGGGAAGGCAGTGGATCTCAGTACATGGAGAAAAAATGTTCATCTACTGCTGGAATGCTGGAAAGAGTTATGATGTGTTATGTTTTAGCCTGAGAGGGTAGTTATATTTATTTGTGCTACATGTCTCATTTTTCAGCACTATCCCTATAAAAGCAGGGCAAAGGCCACGACCTGCAGGTAGTGTAGCTCTTACTGCAGTCTGTAGTTATTGTCCTATTACTGCAAGAGATGTAGGCTTACCTTTCTGTCTTTAATCTGTATACTTTGCTTATGGGGAGCTGGCAACTGAGTAGTCTCCAATGTGTCTCTTAGTTGTTCTCTCCTAGCAAAAAGGGTCATAATGTAGAACTAATAGTGGCCATGCTGGGTCAGAAAAAAAGGTCATTCAGCTCAGTATCCTTTCTGACAGTGTCCAAAAGCAAATGCTTAAGACAGGGCAATATGTTTCTATTCCCCCGAATAGTCTTAACCTTCAACCATTTGCAGGTCATACGCTTCCTAGCTGTTCATTATTTCTGTGTGATTTGGCCACAAACCAAAGCTACGTCTTGTCCTAAGCTGTAATAAAATAAAAATTACCTTCTTCAGATCCAAGTTTAATAGACCTAGACAACTTCAAAATCTCTGCTTTTGGTTTTCTTGTGTAGAGAATGGCTGAAGCGCTCAGTTTAACCTTTATGGTCTTGAAATCTGAGATCAAGTTCCTGAGTGCCAAGGTAAGGAGGATATCCTGGCCAATGACGGGAGATGCATCAAGGATCAGCTTCCCGGAGATACTGGGTTTTTGTGCAGGCGGTGTCATGTTTTGTCTCCATGCTACTGAAGATCGTCTTCTATTTTTGGCTCTTTTTCCAGTGCTTCTCACACCAAGCAGCTTCAGTGCTTTTTTATACACCCGCCTTTCTTTCAAGGATCCTGCTTTGAAAGATGACATGGTCAGAGATCTCATGCATGCTGGATATAGTGCAGTGGAGCCATAATTGCTCTCAATAAATACAGTTTAGGAAAGCTGAGGATACACAAGAGGAGAAAGTGAGATGCAGCCTAAACGCTAATCTTGACACAAAAGCAAACGAATATACATGGCCGTGAAGGCTGGAAAGTAAAACCTGCCAGTCAGCTTCAGCTGGCTGTTCACGGGCACCTCTTAGAAGCTGTGAGCAGTAACAAGATCACTCCTGGGAGACCTCAGTTCTGCATAAGCTGGGGCAATTGCCATCTCCTCTGAAATTAAGAAGGTTAAAAAAATCCTTTTGCAGAAACTCTCCCCAGACAACTCTCCAGAATGGCGGTTGCTGTATGTCATAACAGTAATATTCTCACCAGCTGATCAGAACAGCTGGGACAGAATGTTTTACAGAAGTAGCTTTGACTTTGTATTGTATACATTAATATTTCATCAAGGGCCACAAAGTCTATATTGAATCACTATCATCTGACAATGAACCCTAATAGTTTGAAAATTCATAATTACTTTGCTCCAGAAAAAGTAAAGAAATTAAGTCAGTGCTCAATCCATCAAAGGCCTAAATTCTTTCCACTTCTGACTGTCTGTGGCAAGACAGCTGTAACAAAGAATTTACCTTCTGGATATTTGTAATTAGCAGTGACATCCACACGGTCGTTGGTGCCCACTGCTTTCGTGCTGATAAATTTTCCAATCTTCCTAGTATCGGAATAAATTCTCTCTTTTATTTTCTTGCTATAGTGAATCCAAGTAACATAGTCAGCATTCACTGCTGCAAACACAAACGAGCTGTCATAATCCAGGTTCACATCCCCTTCCTTAATGGCTCTGGTGGAGGCAGGACCACACTGATAGATACCTGTGTGAGAGAGAGGGAGAAGTTAAATGTCTGCCTCTTGTGAAAGAACCCAAATCCTCATGCTGTCAGCAGGAGGTGGAGGTGGTCACTCCAAAGACACGTTGGGATAAAGTGCATTGTGTCTCCATCTCTGCATTGTGGTAACAGCATGCCCAGAGATTCCACGAGCATTTTCTATCAAAAGGAAGGAGCACAGAGAAGGCTGTAAGGCTAATAAGGTGTAGTGAGAGCTAACACTTCTTAGATGTGCACTGTGTGAAATGTTCTAACCCTCCAAGTCATGCAAGGCTGTATGCTAAGCTGTCCAGTGAAAGGAGAGGAGAGGATGGGAGCCAAGTCAGAAGTACAGTCAGACTTGCGAGGTGTCAGTCGTCAATGCTCTCTGTGCATTGAGAAGAGCCAGGAAGCTGAATTTGGTGAACTTAGTAGTGGGGAATGCGAAGCAGTTTATCTGGAGTTTGATGGGTTTTAAATGGCCAAATAAATTAATCTTTTGATGGAGGTCATCAAACTAGATCAATGAAGTTGTGTCTGTATCACTGAATAAAAACAGAGCCAGAGTGTAAACCCAGTGACCACTGGGCCATTGCTCATCCACACTGTTTACTGTCTAACAAGCTTCTTATTTTTTCCCCCTTGTCAATGAGCAATCTTTCAGACTATGGCTGTGAAGAATTCAGACAAGAGGACAGATCAGGGTTTGTTCCCAGCAGGCTGTGCTATTATTTTAGTCTGGGAGGGGGAGTCCAGTGCTGTGAACAAAAGCCATTCTATGTCACTTGGTTTCAGAACCAAAGAACGGTTTGAGGCCTTTTTCATGCAGCTTTGTACATATGTGCCATACTGTTGCGTGCCATGGGGATATCATATGAAATATCTTCCTACCCATTCCAGTGTGCCCTGTATAATATAGGGTAGAGTCATGGGGCATGGTTTGTTTTTTTTTTCTGTTGTAAACTCTTTGGTGACTATAAGGTCTAAAATCTTTACTTAGAGTCTTACTAAAAGGGGTTTTTGTTTGCTGCTGAATCTAATGCAAGCCAGCAAATGTGCCCTTGCAGCAAGGGAGGCCAACAACATCCAGGGCTGCATCAGGAAGACTGTTGCCAGCAGCTCAATGATCCTTTCCTTCTACTCAGCACTGGTGAGCCACATCTGGAGTGCTGTGTCCTGTTCTGGGCTCTTTGTACAAGAAAGATACAGACATATGGGAGCAAGTCCTGCAGAGGGCCACAAAAATGATTACAGAATGAGAACTGGGACTGTTCAGCCTGGAGAAGAGAAAGCTCAGGGGGATCTTCTCAATGTGTATAAATACCCGATGGGAGTGTGTAAAGAGGACAGAATCAGGCTCCTCAGTGATACCCAGTGAAAGAACGAGTGGCAGTGGGCACAAATTGAAACACAGAATATTCCATTTAAATGTAAGAAAAATCTTTTTCTATGAGGGTGGTCAAACTCTACAACAGTTTGCCTGGAGAGCTTGTGGAGTCTCTGTCATATGTAATATTCAAAACCCAGCTGGATATGGTCCTGAGAAACCTGTTCTAACTGATCCTGTGCTGAGCAGGGCGTCAGAGTAAACAAACTCTAAAGCTCTACTCCAACCTTAGTTGTTTTATTTCATTTTATGAGTTGGTGTAATGGTAGGAGCTAAGACAAGCAAAGGTGAGATAAGTGAACTTAATATGTGCTGGCTTTTGTGGAGGCAGATTAAATAAGTAAGAATTTGCATGCTGGTAGGCAATCCCGAGGCTGAGAGAAGGACAACTTACTGGAGGTTGATGTGGGTATTGCTTTTCTTGTGCACCCAAATTAATGCTACATCTACAGGGACTAGACAGAAGAGAGTTGTCCTGAAATTTCAGTAACAGTCTTTAGGAGTAACAATATTTACTGCTTTTTGTATTTACAGCAATGTTACCTTTGCTTCTTTCCTGGGGTGTTGCATCCAGAACCTGCCATCCATCATAAAAAGAGCCAAGATCTCTTCTAATGAACCAGCTTTCATTCCAGACATGGAAATTCCTTTAAGGGAGGTAGAATAGGGAATTCGTGATTCATGGAATTCATTTTATATTGAAAGATTTGATACGTTTCTGATGCAATGCAAGAAATAACCGAGTCGAGTGAATGAAAACTCTATAGAGAGACCAGCTGCTGACTCCTTTCTTGAGTACCTCTTTGACAGCTTTTTGCATTCAGATCTCTGAGGAATGTCGGGATATTACAAAAAAAAAAAAATGTTAAAAGGAAAATAATTCATTGCGGAGTCCGGTATTCAATTCTGGACATTCCAGAACAGCATACTGTACATATTGTGCACACATTGCTATCCATTGGTGTTTAATTCACAGTTGCTCTCTGCTTCATGTCACCATTTGGTCCCCATGGTACAGGGTGCTTGGTGACTGAAACACTGATGCACGCAGGACAACACAGATGTGCAGTGTGATAGTTCCTGTGCACTTGTTTGTCAAAAGCATATTTCTTAACAGCTTCTTTTGAGGTGAAAGAAACAGGATGTTTTTCCTAAGGGATGGTATGGATTTTTTCTGAGCTGCCTTAAACATATTACCTTTACTTTAGTAACCTCTCAGTATTGTGCAAGGGATGTGTAACGGTAATCGTGAAACACATGATCAACAGCGTGTAGCACAGAAGCTGAGTGTAAAACTTAGGGGCTTCTGAGAGTGCTTTGCTCTAGGAATCAAGGGACAAACTGGTATCATTTTGGGGCAAGAGGTTAATCACTCTTCAACTTTAAAAAAAAAAAAACCAAAACCAACCCAAACTTGCATGCAGTAGAGACAAATTAACAGTTATATTTTCAAGTTACATGTTGAATAGTAATGGTACAAAGTATCCACTCTGTTGATTCGTCAGAATGATGAAACTGGCCACATACTGCATTTCTGAACACTCTGGTCTGTTGATTCTTTGCTATGGGGTTTTATATCACTGGGAGCATGAGATTTGGGTGTTTTTTCAGGAGCATGATTCTAGATCTTTTAGTTAGAGGAGAATATAATGGAAGAAATAATAATTAAAAAAAAAATATTTACCACACACTGTCTTCAGTCAAGTGCAGGGTCTTTCCGGAAATGTCAATGTACTCATCAATACTCAGATTTATGTTCCTGTCATGGGCAGAGTTGAAGTTTGTAATAACACGAGTAGGTATTCCCAAGGATCTCAGAACTGCAATACAGAATACCATAGAAGTGCTGTAAACCTATCTTACAGAGATTTAGAAAGTATTTTTCTGTTTTTCCTGGCAAAGCAGTCTAGTGTGTATGTTTTCAGTGGGGAAACTTCCCTCTCAGATATGATGCAAGTCACAGTCAATGTGCACAATTGCTCAGGAGACATTTCCACTCACACAAAATTCTTAGCTGCCATGAAGAGTTAGATTCTCCCATTTATTATAAAGTTTCATTCTTCATCCTGTTCTTGCTCCCATTTTCTCCCTGTTTGTGTCTCTGTTACCTGCCTCTTTTTCTTCTTCTTCTCTGAGATAGACCTCTCCATTGCATTATTTTTCCTCTGTATTTTACACAAAGTGACTCTGAATGGAAACTGCTAGGATGAAATGCTCTTCCTGACTTGCAGCTCCCTTTACAGGTCCTCAGAATTGTGGTTTGGTTTTGTGTCACCAGTAGGTAAGACACAACAGTAGAAAACTGGCATTGTGTGGAGACAGACTTAAAAGAGCACTGGTTTTCTCTGAATCCTAGCTTTGAAACAGGAAGCTTTGCTCTTTCCATCACCCCAGCCTAGTAAACTGCTTTGCATTTTGTTTGATGACTCACAGAACAGGGGTACAGTACTGCAACCTATGGCTGTTTAAAATAGAAGAAAATAGTCCTTCATGCATGGGGGGGCATAGGTTCTTCACTCTCTCTGGCAAAGCTGAAACAGGTTCAACAGTAATGTCACAAAGATAAAACTACAGAAATTGTAGTGAGCTTCCTTTCTGATAGCATTCTTCATCTCTTCATGTATACCTGTGCACATTACTCCTGCAAAGACCCAGCACTGGCCATACCGGACAGGTTTATATCTCCCCCTGTGCCACTTCCGAAGGATGGTCACACTTCCACTCCACTGCAGGGGGTTGGTTCCTGAGCGGAACTTTCCATTCCACTTCCCTTCCACTACTCCTTTTTCATCATTGCTGTTAACCTGAAAGAGTTTTTTCAGAAAAGTTAGCTACTCATGGAAAACATTGAGACATTCACAATAAAATATTGGGGGTTTGTGAGTAGGTGCGTTGTACTGCTGTAACTCATGGATCACCTTACCGTAGCACTGATAACCCTGCTCACATAGGTGGGGCTGTTCCGGTTGGATACGTCAGCAGCTGGATCTTGGCGGTGGTTCAGGCTTCGATCCAGGATAGCCAGAGAGATATCAAGGATATCCTCTTCGAACTGAAACCAAAGCAAGCAGTATACGAAGGGCTAATTTCAGAAATTAACCTGTGGATAAACTCCCCACCTATTTTCCTTCTCCTGGCACAATAGGATGATGTTGGTAATACAGGCATTTTCTGTACTGTTAAAGAAGACAGGGCCAAGAGGGAAGCATAAGCACTAGGCCGCTGACTCTCCACAGTATCTTAAAGACAGCGTGTTTATGAGCATGCTTTGGGGCCATTGCTACTAGCACTGACAAAGACATTACGTGGCCTGGTGGAACACACAAGACCACACCAGGTCTGGCCCAGCAGGCTTCACGTCCTGTCGTGCCCCTACAAGTACCCTTCACTCTGATGGGCTGCCTTCACCTGTATGAGATGAGCTGAACTGAAAGAAACTCACAGAAATAATTATTGTGGATTAAGGTCACAGTGACACTCTGTTGGGCCCAGGGATTGCCCAAGTGCTATGCTGTTATGGATGTGGTCAGGCGAGGATGCCACCTGGCCTCTGAGACAGAAAGCAGATCTAGCCTTGATCCATTTATTAGCGTCATGTAGCCACAGTGATCAGGAGGGTTGATAGAAATGCTGTCTGTGCAACTGTTGGTGCAGCTGTGAGACATGAAGTGGTCAGGAGTGGTTTTGACTGGCCCAGCCAGTTGCAGGTCAGCTATGTGACTACAGGTAGTTATGACTATTTATAGCAGTTACGCTTAGAAGGCCAAACTGATTTTCAAAACTTCCAACTTGAGTTGTTTCAGCTGAGTAGATTGAGGATATCCTTTTAGTGTCTTCTGCCCCATTAATGAACCAACTGTGTAAATATTTAGATGTAGTAGCCTTACAGTACCTAGAGGTTAATACTGGAATGGCTTCCTTTGCCCCTCAAAAGGGCCAAGGAACAATTAGAATTTTGGCAGTTTGTGTAATAGGCAGAAGAAAACTAAAATTGTGCTTTGTTTCTTTTATTTTTGTATTAGCACATGACAGACAGGGGAAATGATCCTGATGTTGCTGTAATGTATTGATAACTGAGACATATCTGCAAGAAAATTCTAAGTGAGAGAGGAATACTAAACTCTTATATTGTCAGATAATGATACTCTCTCCTCAGGAGCCAATTTACCGACTGTTCTTATTTTCAAAGTTCTGGAATAGGTGATGCTGTTTACCTGTCCATAGTTCCAAGCTTCTTGTTGAATATGTTTTTCCAGTCCCTGAAATATGATTCCACTATCATTCAGGACATACTCCCATCGCTCTTTTTCATTAGCCATATAGACATCGTCATCTAGAAGCAGAATGAGACATGCTGGCTGAAAGGAAAGTTGTTTTGTGTAACTGAAAACTTCACTTCAAGGGAGGTTCTAGGAAACAGGTGAGGCCGCAGGTGCATTCAGGTTTAGGACTCCCCCTATACCTCTGTAATCACTTAGAGAGTGAATAAAATAAGCCTGAAGTTCCTTTAAGGGGAACTGACTATGCTTCTGTCCCTTCTAATCTCAGTATGTGTCTTGTACATATTGATTGGTTTACAACCAAACACAAGTATTGGAGGGGAAAAAAATTATAGAATAAATATTTGGAATGTTTCCTGCCTCTGATTTCTTATTTTGCAAGCAAGAAGCTGGATCTTTGATGCATTGCAGCACTGAAGAAGGGGTAAAAACTTCATCCTAGATGTTGAGCAAAAAAATAATCTTTCTGTAGCTGTGACTGTCAGGTACACGCTTTACTGTGATGCCCAGATTTCCTGACTGAGACAGTGAATTATTTGAAGGACATGATATATCAAAACATACTTGGACACCAGGGATTGAAGAGTAGCACAAACTGGCCCAGGAGTGTTGAAGAGACCTTGTTCCCAGAAACAGTCTGTAGTTTGAGTTTGTATCGTCCAATGACAGCATCGGCTGGGCTAAATATTGTGAAGTTCATGCAGCCAGGCTCACTGGGCTCTTGAGTTGCACTCCAGCCACTGGCGCCCTCCTCAGAAAGGTTAAATATGGCCTTGGTCTGCTGTGATTCTGCTGGAGCTGGTCCTGCCAGAGGGAACAGGGACAGCAGTTCTGAATGACAGAATTCTGTGGGTGACAAACTTGGGGTCAGTGGTGATCTCAGTTCCGTATTTTAGTAATGACTGCACTGAAAGACTGTGGTTTATCAGATCAAATGCTTATTCAGTGTAAACTAGTTGCACTCCAGCCCACAGAACCATCCTGTGCAGCCCTCGGTGTTACGTGCACAACCCAGTAAAGGTGAGTACACCTGTAATCATTCTAGACAAGTGAGGAGGCAAACCTGTTGTCCTGAAAACCTGGCAGTTCAAAATTATCTAGGCAGGATGGGCCATACATTTTAATACATGTTTCATTAAGAGTTAGTAGCCACCTGAAGAATTTTTTGGAGAAGCCTTTTGGGAAGATACAGAAAGGAGTATATGGATGAGGTCTTGTAGACTGTTCTAGTAATAGGGAACACATGAAGTTAGTGAAGGGGAGTTTAAACAGGTGAAGCAGAGACTCGGGAGAGGAGACAAATAGGGGATGATGGTCTGTGAGAGGAAGAGGTGAAAAAAATGTTCAGGGACCACAGAATGAAGGCAACTTGCAGTTTTGCAAGTAGGTCCTTAAGAGCAGAGATACAGGCTTGTTTTTAGAGTGAGGATGGCCCCTACCTTTCCATTATTACTTTGATTGTCTCTTGCCTTAAGATGGGAGCTCCTAAGTCTAAAATGACAGTGAAACCTGACTGATACAGGACAAAGCTTAATGATTCAGGCATGGGCCACAGAGAGCTGTAAGGCACTAGTGTTCTGGAGCTGGAGTGAATTGGATGTGAGATGAGTGCCATGGGAAAATTACCTGTGCTTGCAATGAAGGTGAAGTTGTCCCCAGATTGCACCCCTCTTTGGAGGTTCACGGTGATTTTGAAGGCCTGTCCTCTCCTCAAGATTGCTTCTGTGCTGCTGTAATCAGAGGTATGGTGCGCAGCTTTATTTAGTTTGGATTGCCAGTTGATATTTGCTATTTTCAGGGCTAGAAAGACACAAGGCGAGTTAATTAAAAACATTGTTTCTTCAAACGTATATGCCTCTTCAGCTTGTCTAATGTAGTAATTTTATTACATTTATATATAGCTGGAATTATGTGTTTTAGGAAAACAGACAAATCCACTGTCATTATTAAAAACTGCAAAATAATCAACAACTTAGAAGAACAGCTAAATTTCTGCAGGTATCTTTCAGAAACTGGAAAAACACCTGTTCAGAGAGTTCATCTTTTAAAAAAAAACCAACCACACCTTAGTGTATTTAGATAAGACTTTGTTAAAGTTTAAAGAGACTGTTCTATTCCACCATGTTCCTGCTCTGTTTCTGTGGCGATCTCTAGTTCCTAGAATCTTTGCAGATGTACAGAAAGAATTATTGAAACTCTCATGAGCAAGTGCATGCCTGATCTTGGGGATACGGTATGACAGATGATGAATAGAAGGCTAGTATCTTTGTTTCAAACTTGCGTGTTTTCTTCTCACATATCTTGTATTTCAGTTCATTTATGATCTTGTTGCTTGAAGCTGGGTGTTATTTCACTCTCTGTTGGAAAAAGATAACCAGCAGAGGACAGGTGGTAGGATTAGGAGTGCCATATCTTGAGGCAGTGCTATGGGTTGCTGTATTGTATCGTGATAGGTTGCCCACTATTGGAAATTGGACACTGAAGCACAGATTACAAAAGCTCTCAATCTTTCTTGTTCCTCAATCAATTATAAAAATAGTAACACCTCCCCACCCAAGCAAAACCAGAGTAGAAATACACAAGTCCCTCTGTAAACACGTTTGAGAAGTGCCCTTCCTCAGTATGATAGTCCAGAGGAATTTCACTTGAAGAAAATTTCCTGCCACAACTAGAGTATCTTAAACCTTTCCAGTCTAATGGTGCTATATGCAACACTCTCATAGTTTCCCTGAAGATACAGGATTTATTGTAGCACCAGCTTGAATCACTTGGAATGAGGCTTTTATCTGGGAGTATCTATGTGGTTCTACTTTAGAAATAGATTGAGTTTTCTGCTGTGTTGGCAGCACAGAATTATAATCTGTGAAGTCTTGATGTAGTCATAATTATACTAAATTTTCAGCTGTTTGGAGGAAACATGAATGTGCACATGCAGTTCTGAGGCTGCAGTAAGGGCCCGGAGCAAGCTGCTTTCCTGTAGTCTGTGAGCATAAACATGTTTTCAGTTAAGTGAAGGGTCTTAGGTATGTCACCTGGCAACCAAAGTAAATCCATCGATAGGAGTGTGATGTTTGAATCACAGGATGTAAAATGTCTAGAAAGTTTCTCACATCATCTCTTTATTTGCCTGTCTTAAGTATGTTTAATTGAAAAGGACCTACAGAAAACATCATTGTTAACATCAAGTCCTCTAATTTAAGAGAAAATTAGAATGTGTGTCTGAAGGGCACTTGGGTTCAGAGTTTGAGAAGAAGTCAGCCTTGCAACACTTTACCCATGTATATCCTACTGCTGTGTGTCCTGAACTGTGCAGTTTACGTGTCCAGGCTCTTTGGGGTGAGGAGAGAGCGCATTATTAGTTGTGCAGTGATGCAGATAACTAAGAGCATTTTGCATGTCTGTAAACAAAAATGTAGCAAATGCAGGATTTACTAGCAGCTGAGCCATGGGTTTGACACTAGTGGGATGCTGGTGTTCAAGGACCGGAACAGTCCTGCCCAGACTTTCAGAGTGGAATGTCACAGGCAAAGACAATGTGTACAACAGAGTAAGAGGGGACACCTGTAGAAGCAGGAAAGATAGAGTGCAGTGGCTAGCATTGGTTAGCTCTGAGAATTTACTACATTAATAGTTTGCTTTGCCTTACAAAGCCCACAGTTACACAGGCTTTTCTAGTGAATGTGTGCAGGTCTGCAAAAAACGGTTTATATATGGGGCAAGAGCACAGTATAGCCCAATAGCAGTGTTTTGTCCATGCATGCTTCAAATTTCTCCTTGTTCTGATCTTCACAGTTTCGATTTAAATCTTACAATTTCTTTTTCTGCTCTCAGTATCTCTCTGTTGGAAGAATATATTTTCAGTAGTCCTGTCAACGTACAATTGGACAAAATTCTAAAAATGTGTTTGGGTGACTGTTTATCCTCTAATAGATAGACATTGGGAGCATGCTTATTAGAAATAGCCTACAGAATTGGTGATCACTGCTGCAAATACAGTGCACGCAGGGTTCTTGCCTCTGACAAAAAGCTGGAGCTATAACACCAAAAAATCCATAGGCTAAATTGTAGATAGACTCTGTGTGTATATTACATGATGCATCTTTCTAAGTAGAGATCTCTCCAGTCAGCAGGAGAGTGAGAGCGAGTGCAGTATAACACACAGATACTGGGACTGCACTTTGAGAAAGCAGCACACAGGCTAACATAGCCACTCCGTAGGGAGGTGAACATGGGAGTCCAGAGGCCATCAACCGATCCGTCCAAGGCCAGACACCTCTTCAATATCAAACAGGGATTAGACCCTGGGACTTCTGTGTGGTAGTTACCCAGATCACTAGCCAGGAGTGTTGGTCAGGTGGCTGCAAAAGCACTGTATACTTAATGGATATGATAGAATAATATTTTCTTAATCTATTTTTCTGTGTTACAGGAAAAAATACATTCAAGACCCATGATACAAAACAAAGCTCAGTTCTAGTTGAATAACCCATGAATACATTTAACCTAAGAAGGGCTAAATTGCTAAGAGGACAAGTAGATGTAATTTATCCTGTTTCCTCAGCAAGTGTCAGTCTTCTGTATTGGAAGAGTGATACCTGGAGCAGCCAGGCTGTTTTTAACTTACCTGCCATCAGGTTTCTTTCTTCTTTTCCACACTTGTGCGTAGTTCAGGTTACAGATATGAAAGTACACAAGAACATTCTGAATCCTCTTCCACCAGCACGAGCAATGAAAGGCTTAGTGGTCTTGACTTCACTACATAAACTAGAGTTTATACAAGCTGGGTGTGACCTGTGGTTGCTAGTTACTGTTTTTGTAGTAATGTTCTACGTGAGCATCTACTTATGACTGCTTTAATTGCACAATCTTAAATCTAATTATGCTTATTTAAAACTGGTGAATGGCTGAGGAAAGATGATAAACAGTATCCTGGTGTCTTTACTAAGAGAGGAAAACATCCCAAATTGGATCTAATGAAGGAAATACAGTCTTAAGTAGACAGAAGAAACTTAATTCTGTTTGGTTTGGTTTGTGTCAGTTTAGGTTTTTGGAGACTGTATGTACAGAGGGCAGGTATAGACAAATATACATATTGTACAACATGGGTGTATGGAACATGGGGTGATTAAGTAGATCTGTATTAGTGTTACTGTCACTCAGTAGCATCAGGACTTTGCATAGCATAAACCACCTTTTTTTTTTTTTTTTTTTAAGGTGGGTCTGCCTGAAGATCTTTCAGGTAACTGCAAATAATTTATTCTTTCTTGGAAGCATACGGAGTTGTGATGTTCTCATTATCTGTTCCTGACACGATTACTTACAATACGTGTTTCTTATATAAGAAGCAGCACATCCCACTGAGAGGGCATTATTATGCTGTTACCTGTGCATCAGGGATTTCTGTTAAGTACAGAGAAGTGTTTAATGGCTGCCTCTACTGTTATAATTTTTCTTTATTGTTCGGCATTCATAATATGTGTACACAGTTTCTCTGTAGCTATTTGGCTTGGCATCTTGAGTTGGGCCCTTGAGGAAGCTACTGGTATGAGCCCTGCCCACTCTAATTACAGACATTCTCTTCTCCACTCCTGAATCTCCCTCATGCGCTCTCCTCCCTCATCCTGTGTCACAACTTATCTAGAAACATGCCCTGCCAATTTGTCCCAAGAGGAGGCTGCATGCTGCTTCTGAACTTTGAACGGACTGTGACTGAGGAGTACTGGGTGTAAGGGGAGAAGGAGTGATCCCTTACTTTCCTCACCTCTACACTTCTACATTGTGTCTTTTTTTGTCTGTTGCTGTCTTCTGGTTTGTTTCTACATTCATATCGAGATTGACAGCAACCAAAAAGGCAAATTAATTACCTGCAGCTTAAATTTATTTTAAAAAAAGGAATCTAAAGTTTTGTTATGGTTTCTTGTGTAGTTTTTCAGTAAGAATTTATCATCATGTCTGGATGCATCAGACTCTGAAGTATCACCTGTCAGACAAAGTATGTTCATATCGAACAACTCCTGACGGCTCTGTGGTTCAGAATCCTGGACTTATTAATTCTGCTTTAAACATTTTTAAGTGAGATAACAAATCTAAATCTTCAGGCTTGGCAGAGCTATTTGTATGCCATTGTTGCCTCACACCCTGCTTCTGAAGTGCAGCCAGGTGGTTGCTGTGCCCTGTCAGTCGCCCTGTCAGTCGTTAGCTCTCATAGCAGTCCCCAGAGAGGCACATCGCCTGTGGCGATAGAGAATTCTTAAGGTTACTTGAAAGTGCGTTTCAGGTGAGACCTGATACCTGGCAATGTTAGGACCGGAAGCCCACAAAAGAGGCATGTGTATGCAAACACTGTGGAGCAGGGGCTGCCTGTGAATGAGTTACATCGGGAAGGTTTGAAGACAGATGTGTTCCTTGTCTACAGTGACCTTACGCTGGTGGGCTAAAAGCGTTAGTTACCTTGTGTTGCTGGACTGCCATAGTAATGCAAGACTCTCCCCATGCTGCGTGCTCTCAGAACTCTGTCACACTGGATAGGAATTAGGGTACTGATTTGAGTATGTACATGTATTGTCTGCTCTGTCACAGGCCTGTGCCCACAAGCTATAGAAATACTGTTTTCATGGTCCCCAAACATTACTTTTTCCGGCCTTCATATCCTCCCCATTCACAGAGTTATAGGCGTCATGAAATACAGAAATTAAATGAACAATGGTGGAAATGTTCTATTTTTGGGGCAAGAAGCTTGTGAAATGAAGGAAAAAGAACTTTCCTCAGTCTCGTAATTTCTTGTATTTCTATGGAATGTACAATTTATGACAAAAGAATACAATTATATGAATATTTTTTTATTTATTGCTGACAATTAGAATGTGCTTGAAAAGAGACTGGAAGCTTAACATGATGAGATTTGATAAAACAGTGAACTATACCTACAAGGAAGGAGCTTTATTTTTCTAGACAAGAGGACAAAAAAATTACAATTAGAGGCTAAAAGTTAAGCACTGTGAAAGCAGGAGACTTGATTCTATTGCAGTGTAAGATGTCACCAATGTTTCTGGAAAGTTTCTTGCTGTCGTTGTCCCTACAGAGGAGAATGCCTTGCCATGTTAATGCTGAAATAGGAGATTGATTCCATCACGTTATGCAGGTGCTACTGCAATGGTTACAAACCCCTTAACATGTGAAAATTTGTCAGAAGAGAAGTCTACTTGCAGCTGTAAGGGCCCAGTCCTGCGAGGTGTAAATTCAAAATAAATTTTTGATCTCTCCCTTGGTGCCAGTTGTGCCAGACTGAAAAAAAAAAAAAAAAATCCATTAATTCGGGCTTGCACTGTCTTTCTTTGAGATTCCCAAGAAGCGAACTCTATGATACCCAGAGCACCAACAGTTACTCAAGACCCAGACTTGGGTTTTGAGAAGAAGAACAAAACAACTTCTTCTTTTGGCCGAAATGAGGGGACCTATGGCACTGTCTTGTTTGTTTGCTTTAGCTTGGACTTATTTTTCTGGTATTAGGGTACTGTATATAAAAATAGAAACATGAAGCCAAGCTGTAGAAGAAATAGCAGAGACACAAAAGAATTTGACATGCCCATTTGCTTTCCTAGGAAAGAAGAACGTTAGCAGTTTTTAATTGTTAAAGAAGTTCTTATATGGAAAAAAATAATACATGATTGAGAAATCATAATCTCTCAATATATATCTGGTGGCATTTTTATTTTCATAAAAAATTTTCAATATGAAAAATCAATTCAACCATGATTTTTTTCATAGAGAAACTAGATGTGCTATTGGCCATGTTAGAAGGACTGAGTAAATGCTACAGCTTTCACTTACTGTATCTTGACCTGTTGATTCATCAAAGTCACTAGTAGTACACAGCGGTTCACCGGTTCAGGGAGGGGATTGGCATACGAGATCTCTAGAGTAACAGCTTTATTCACTACAACCCGCCGAGGAATCTAAATGACAAAGACATGTTTCTGATCATTCACTGTTTTACACTTTTCTGGAGCCAGACATCAGAGGGCAACTGAGCACTGTGCAGATTTTTGGTCCCCACTTCTCCCCCCAGCACTGGGAAGGAGAAAAGCAAAAGGCCTGGCAAATTGAGATAAGGACAGGGAGGGGATGATCTCATCTGTTAAGGCACAGGTAAAAATAGGCCTGTTAGGGAAAGAAAAAAAAATAACATGTCTTGTATTTGAGGATGAATGAGATATTGGTAGGAGAAGGAAATTTAACTGACAGCTGGTAAGCCTTTCCTTATTCTTGAAACTGGATTTGGTTTAGCTAAATAGCGCTGTCAAGCTGTGTGCAGTATTTTGTGACCAATTTCAATGAAATACAGACCAGACACATCTCATTGAACCTGTCTGACCCTTGGCTTGCAGAGTGGTTTTGTGGGGTTTTCTGCACACCATTGATTAGGGATAAAGTGTTAAATCAATATTAACCGGACCTAACAGATTAGAATTAAGGGTTTAAAGTTTGTATTTTGGAAGTAGGCAAAGTTATATAAAGGCAACGCAAGCACTTGCCGATAACTAGAATACAGATGAAATGAAAACAAGTTCTGATGAATGTAAAGCAGTGGCATGTGACTGGGAAGGAAAGAAGGTAACAGACCTCTTCTGAAGAACAAGGGGCAGATTCAGGCAAATATTCAAAATTGGTGTCTTGCATGCTTACTTTCTCAATTTAAGCGGTCAGAATTTTGGAGCAACATCTGAAATTGCAGCTTACATTAATGCATTTATCCCCAGATTCTCATCTTAAGGTCTGAGCTCCAAAAAGACTCTTTAGTTCTTTCTGTCTAGGACATCAGGGAGGGAATTGTTTACCTTAATGATAATGTTTGTGTCCTCTAAAATGATTGTCTTCTCCACCAGCAGTTTTGCCCCATGCATGCGCATGACTTCACACAAAGCAGTAACTTGGATCCTTTTGTCAGTAGTCAGATATTTTCCATAATAAGAATAAGGGATCTTTATCCGGATATGTTTCTCTGGAATTCAGACATATGTTTAGGAACCATTAGATTCTCAAAGAATGCTAAAGAGAGTTACTGTGAGCGTTTTTGAAATTATTGGAGACCAGAAGGATAAGACAGCTGGAGTCTGTTTATATTTCTTCCTTTTGTGACTGGTTGTGTATTTCCCTCTGCTGGTGATCCTTGTCTACTTTAACTCATTTGACCCTTACAGTTTTGAATGGAGGATTTTGGCCTGAAAGTGAGGGAGTCTGCTCATCTGCATTTAACTGAATTCTTGTTCCTTTGTATTTCTTATAATTAGAGGTATAACCATTTTTATCTATTCCTCCACTTATATCCTATTTGGTTTAGCTCAGCCAAGAAGAGAGTTTGAGTCAAGTTTCACAGAGAGCCTTTTCAAGTGACCTGGTCAGCTGCTTATTTGTAGTCCTACAGCTTCCCTGCTGTGGATGGAAAAAATGTTTATCTTTGTAGCCCCTGGGGATGAAAAAGATCTCTGTAATAGTTTTAATAGCCTTGACTTTTCAGAAGAGAGACAGAGTTTCACTGTAACTTTTAACCTTTGTCCTGGTTAATTTCTATTAAAGTGTTGAGTGCTGGAAAGCGTACATCAGACTTTTTTATTTGTTCAGATGTGCTCCTGTGCATGTATTAATCAGACACACATGCACACACACACATATATATATATGTGTGTGTGTGTGTGTGTACAATTGCACATGACACACAGATGTGTAGTATTGTTTCTGGAGCTATAAATTAAATGTAGCCTTCTATATAACATTTCATG